TATTAAAGGTCAGCTGTCTGTAGGTGGATACATTTACTTTTGAGGTTTCAATTCTGTTCTCACATTCTTGCATTTCATATATATATGACTTACAGGCCCAAGGAAGGCCTGACTGAGAAGCTGCCTTCTAAACTAAGATTTAAGGAAAAACTGGGAATATATGTGTGTATAAAACTATACATATATAAATATATGATTTATATATGTGCATTTATAGATGCATACATATAAATACATTTTTTCACAGTGCTTTGAAGAATCTATTAGTCTATGGGTGAATTTGAAGTCGGTTTAAATTGAGGTTGGTTGCAATTTAGAGTAGGTTTAGAGGTGCTCTGGTTAGAGTTAAAAGATGAGGGTTTGGGGTTGAGGTTGGGGTTCACACTAACAGGCCAGAAAGAGAAAGGCTTAGGCCTGCCTCAGGATTTGGAATAGATTAAATTAGGATTCTGAGAAAGCCCAGGCTAAAATAGGCCTGATGATAGTTGGAGTTTGAATAAAGATGTAGATTTCCCCCATCAGATTTATAGCCTTAAACTGTGAAGTTAGGTGGGGTTAGAGGAGGAAGTTCCCATTTGGGCAAAGGCCCCCCTTCATCTCTGCCACTTACTGCTGCAATCCAGCAAAGGCATCTTTGGGGTCATCAACAGAACACTGGCCGGGCTGGAGGCTGTTTGTGCATCTGCGGCTGCACAGGAGCATCAGCCAGACCACTGTCCTGTTGTACAACGTGAGCCTGACCATGGTTCACAGGGTGCCTGGCGTCCACTGTGAGCCCTGGGAGCGAGCTGGGGACCTCTGGGACATAGACCACCAGCTCCTGTCTTAACTGCGATGCTCTCTTGATCTGGCTTCCTGAGGGCATGCAGTGTGTTTCTAACTTGCTTATCAGCCTGGATCACCAGGTGTGTTAGTCTGGGTAAACTAGGGAAACTAATCCACAGAAACTCATATATGTATAAGAGAGAGTTTTATATATAGGATAAGTGTACATTTAGAAAGCATCCCAACCCAGTCCAGTCCAAGCCCCTAAGTCCGACTTAGCCCATATGTCGGACACCAAACTACAAAGTCCTCAAACACAAAACACACACAATGACGCTGCATGCAGGAGGATCACAGGCCAGTGGGTAGACATCCCAGCACTGGCAGAGGTTTCCACGCAGCTTCCCCAGCACCTAAGGCTCCATCAGGGTACGTCCATGTGGCTTCTCCTCAGGGATGTCCAGCAGGAAGTGAGCCTTGCTAGCTGAGGAAGCCACACACTGCTCCAACCATCAGAGAACAAGAGACCAGAGAACCAGAAGGGCGAGGATCACCGAGCTATTGATCTCTCCACCCTTCAATTAATCCCACATGTGTTTATCGGCCAGGTTGGCACAATAAACCTATCTCACCAGGACCCACCACTACTCGAAATAAAGAGTCCTCTTTTGTCAATCTTCTGTGGGCAGAAAGGACCAGATACACAGACTGGTGCAGGGCGACACCTCCTGGCCAATGCAGATAGCTGGCCTCCTTGCTGTCCCTTGCAGGCAGCTAGCTCCCTCCAGCATTGTGCCCACCCATTGCTGCCTTCATCTTCCAGCTACATGGTACCCAGTCATACAACTGCCATCTGTCCATACCAAACATTCACCTAGTCACTTAGCCATTCATTTCCCCATCACCCAGTCACGCTCCCATGAATGCCTCCGCCTCCCAATGCATCCATTTGTCCTTCCATCTACCTATCCATTCAAGCACAACCCAGTCATATGAGAACTCTCCCTTGTTCTGCTATCCACCTCTCATCCACACATGGGTTTTCTCATCCTTTCTTGTTAGTGTTGCTCTTTCCGTCCATCACACGTTTTCTCATTTCACAAAAACACTTCTCCTACCTGTGAGGCCTTCTGCAAAGGTGAGATTCAAGAGGAGGCAGGTGCAGAGAGGCCCGTGGTTCCTAGAGGGATCACTGCTTTGAGTGCAGCAGCACAGGGTGCAAGGAGGATGGAGGGGCCCAGACTTGCAGGCCCGAGGAAGGCCTGACTGAGAAGCTGCCTCCTGAACTAAGATTGAAGGAAAGATTGGAAGCAGCAAAGAGAAAGTAGAAGGACATGGAGCAGGTTCCTGGCAAAGGGCACTACAGAGGCCAAGGGTGGAAACCAGGTAAACTTCCAACAGGGGGCCAGGGAAGGGAGACCCAACCTTGGCAGGTCTTGACAGCCATCAAAACACCTGTCCTGACTACAGGGGCAATGCTGGACACATTGGGGTGGGGGGAGGGTGGGGAGGGTGTTCTTTTACTTTTGAACTCTTCTTCTTTTTAATCATTTTATTGGGAGCTTGTACAGCTCTTATCACAATCCATACATAAATACATTGTGTCAAGCACATTTGTACATATGTTGCCATCATCTTCAAAACATTTTCTTTCTACTTGAGCCCTTATTATTAGCTCATTCTGCCTCACTCCTCCATCCCTCCTGAACCCTTGATAATTTATAGATTATTTTTGAACTATTCTTTGTATGACATAAGTCATACATGTCTACCATTTCATTAAAAAACAAACAAACCCAGAGGCATAGAGAAAAATGTTAGTTGCCATTGAAATGTTGTTCAGCCCTCCTATATGGTCTTCACACTCATTGGTGTATTTCGGTCCTTCGCTACAGCCCTAAGGAAGGGGCAGTGCCTTCCAACTAGAGCAGCAGTTCTCAACCTGTGAGTCACGACCCCTTTGGGGGTCAAACGACCCTTTCACAGGGGTCGCCCGATTCATAACAGTAGCAGAATTGCAGTGAGGAAGTAGCAACAAAAATAACTTTATGGTTGGGAGGTCACCACATGAGGACCTATATGAAAGGGTCGCAGCATTAGGAAGGTTGAGAACCCCTGAACGAGAGGGCTCATCCTCCCGCTCGCTGTCACATAATATTCTTTGTGGCCTATAGGGGTTGCTGTTGTTGTCAGGTGCAATCAAGTTGGCTCTGGCCCACAGCGATCTTATGCACGACAGAAGGAAACACTGCCCAGACCTGCGCCGTCCTCGCCTGAGTCCATGGTTGCAGCCGCTGTGGCAGCCCATCTCTTTGAGGACCTTGCTTTCCGTCACCACCCTTCCACTTTACCAAACATGACGTCCTTCTCCTGGGACTGGTCTTCCCTGATAGCGTGTCCAAAGTATATACGACAAGCGGTGCCATCCTTGCGTCTCAGAAACGCTCTGGCTGTACTTCTCCCAAGACGGCTGTACTTCTCCCAAGACAGATTTGTTTGTCCCGTTAGCAGTCCTTCTTTGCCCTGCCCTAGTTTCTCAGAAGGAAATTCCGAGGTGTTTCTGCATTCGCCTGAGTTTAGCAGCTCTGCTGAAACCCGTCCACCGTGGATGACACAATGAGAAACGCCAATGGCATCACTTCCGGCATTCGCAGCAGCATGTAACACACTACACAGCACGGCAAACGGACAGATGGCTTGTGGGGGGCAAAAGTAACTAGGCCTCGTCCAACCAACCACAGACAAAATGTGCCTATGTAAAATGTGTCTGCACATATGAAGACATTCCAGCGCATGCTGCAGAAAGCCCGCTTTTACTGTTCTGTGCTGCAAATCACTGGACGATGGGAACGCAACGGATACGAAGTCCTTCGTGCCTGACACACAGTCCACGAGTGGTGCCATCGGGAAGTAGGTTTGCTGTGGAGAGGGCTGATACAGCAGGGTCCTGCTCCGCGAGGGCGAACAAACAGAAAAACCAGGAGACGTCCTGCTCCTGCGATGATTGACAGGCTCGGAACCCGAGGGAGCAGTTCTGCTCTGCCCCAGAGGATCTCTCTGGGTTGGCTTGCTCCCGGGAAAGACTGATGGGCTGGGAAATCCTCCACTGGGCCTCAGTGAGTTTGGGTGTAAGCTTTAGGGAAGCCGACTGCCATGTCTCCTTCCCATGGGGCGATGGCTACCAGGCTGCCAAGGAGTGGGACTTTTCTCCCTCCCTTTACCGGGTCCGGGCCACCAGTCCGCTAAGCGCCCCAGCCCCACTCCTCGAAGGGGCGGGTCTTCGAGGGCTTTGTGACGTCATCAGACACACACGCCCCCTCGGCTTCCATGGCGACGTCAACGGAGCTCCGGACCTTGTAAAAGGAACGCTGGCGCGGAAGCTTCGGATCTCAGGCGGGTGAGCGGCAGGTGGGTCCCCGCGGCAGGTGGGTGCACAGAGCCGCCGTGGGAATGAGGCGGGGGTTTCCTCTGGGCGCCCCTGGGAAGATCCTTTTTCTGGGCGTCCCTGCTTTCTCGACACTGCACGATTCCTCACCCGGGTTACACGTTGCGAAGGCGCCCAAGGGGCTCGCTGCCGGGAGCCAGGAGGGAGCCGGACTAGCCGGCCCCTGGGAAGGCAACGGGGCCGGGAAGGGCACTGGCTTTAGGTAGTAGACCTGGGCTTGGGCCCTGGGCTCCGGCCCTTCCCGCTGCGAGATTTCCCTGCGTGACGACACGTCTTGGGAGTGCTGCTGGGTGGCTTCTCCTGCAGAATGAGAATCCATTCGGCCAAGAGCTCTAGAGCGCCAAGTCCTGGCCGGGCGCTCAGATGGGTGCGGGCGCTGCCAATCAAGGGGCCCCACTCCTGGAGCTCACCTCTTACTGGGAGAGATCAGTAAACTGGTGTTTTAAAATGACCCGCCAGGTAGTGGGGAGTGGGGAGAAAATATAGTGGTCACGTGGTAGGAGGGGGAGGCCTCTCTGAAACCCTGCCCCCCAGTTGGGGCAGGGGACTCGATATTGACAGAGGAGACCCTACCTGTCAAGACCAAGGTTGATGTGTCCCAGGAGCAGCTAGATCGGACAGTTAGACCCAAGTCCAGGAAGGGAGTGTGGTCAGGGTGGAGGTGGGAGGCGGTGGTCCGCAGTGATCAACCCTCAGGAAATGTCCCTGTTATCAGGCCACCCTGAGTGGCGCTGGCACAGCCGTGAGTCACTCTGCTCAAGCACTTTGTCACTCCATAGGTCTCTCACGTCGCCTTCAGTCAAGGTCAAGCTCTGCTGCAGCCCGTTTTGGTCCTCAGCCAGCATACTGGAGATGCTGACCCCTGTGGTCCCCAAGAAGATGAACCATGAGAGTGAGTGCCAACTGGGCTGGACCTGCTGGTGGGAGCAGGTCTCTCGGAGGTGAAAGACAGCCTGGGGCCCTGGGAAGATGGAGACTGGACGTCACGAAGCAAGTTAGGTTGGTTCTAAAGTTAGACCAGGAGGCAGAGACCAGAGAATTACGTTGTTCCATTGAACGACTTTGAGGAAGGTGTCAGTGGAGGCCACCTTCTCAGCTTCCAGAGGCCACCACCAACTACCCTGCAGCCTGACAGGCAGTCCACTGGTCCCAAGCATTGATTGTGTGTGACCACTTTTACTGAGAGACTGGATGGGTAGAATAGACACTACAATCCACCCGGCTGCCTGTGTGTTCTAAATTCCCTTCATTTGTAAACTTTGATCTGTTTTTAAATAGTTCAGCTATTTCTTTGGTTCAAAATGCCAGAGTATTCAAATTCTCCTGCTCTTATAAAACGACACCCCCGCCCCCTCCACACACCCCCAGTATCCCTGTGTTAGGCTGGGTTGTCTAGGCAAACAAATCCGCTGACATTCCTATGTGTATCAGAAAGAGCTTTATATCAAGAGGTAATCTTATATCAGGAGGGCATCCCAGACACTTTAGACCCTGTTTTTTT